GGATGGGTATTGATGGATTTGCTGCAGATGGAACGCAGGAGTTGGGATTCATAATAGAAGAGGAACCCTAAAGAGGTGAAATTGAGGTGATTCTGTGATGCTGATAATACCATCGAAAAAAGCAGATTCCCCACTTATGAAATGATTCCATCAAAATTCAAACTTCCGCATTTCCCCCTTCAGCCCATCAATGTGAAACAAGAATTTTTTAAAAACTCGGCATATCTTCGCTACCAGTTTGCTACCATACCAACCGGCATATACAACTAAGAAAGATTAACAGCTTAAACCTTCAAATATATTTTAAGTCTGCTGTCGTACCCGCCCAGATTGTAAACACTTTCTCAATATATTTTACAATAAAGAAAGACAAAATTACAAAGCACAATAAAGACGAGAAGGCTGACAATTCTATACAAGCCAATGCCAACCATGACAAAAACTTTAAACCCAAAGAGCACTTATTCATTAAATGTTAAATCAGAAAGTCTAAAACATCAACTCTGCAACTAGTTTCTTTTTTGAACAAGTTTTCTGGCTCTCCTCATCTTCCTTCCACTTTGACTTGGTCGCCCATCAAACAAAGACACAAACCATTTTGGTTTCCCTGTTCGGAAGACAAGATATCCCATCAGCAGTCCAAAAACAACTCCACATCCATAGCCTAACACCACAACTCTCCAGCCAAATCTCCACAACTCATCCTTTTCTTGGAAGGAGCTCGGCTGTGTCCCAATTCCATCACAAGATTTTGACAATGGGATTCCACACAGTCCAAGGTTTCCTTCATAAGAACCATTTCCAAAGGTGTTGAACTGACTACCCTGTGGTATGCGCCCAACAAGATGATTATTTGAAAGATTCAATACAGAGAGTTGTGTCAAAGATACCAATTCATCAGGAATTTTCCCTGTCAGCCCGTTGGAAGAGAGATCCAACCATTCCAGATTCGTTAAATTCCCTAGTGACAATGGGATATGACCAGTAAGGTTGTTATGAGAAAGATTAAGCCCTTTGAGAGAATTAAGCTTTCCAATAACATCTGGAATTTCTCCCTCAAACATGTTATTTGAGAGATGAATACTACTGAATACGGTCAAGATTTTCTGCAGCTCATAGTCGAATCCCTTCCATGTCACAACCAGTGAATATTGATAAGAATTGGCTCTCGTCGACACCATCATGTATTTAGGGGAACCACCATCTTTATGAGGGTCCATCATCGCATTAAAATTTTCAATGTATCGAACAGGCAAAGCACCAACAAAATAATTGCTGGAGAGGTCCAGAACTCGCAACTTGGGAAAAGATGGACTTTCTTTGGTGCTCTGCACAGAACCGTGGAACTTGTTGGACCTTAAGACAAGCACTTGAAGGTGTGGTAGAGATTCCAACCAATGAGGGAATGTACCACTTATGTTGTTGTTGCCAACATCTAAAACCTCTAACATGCGACAATTCACCAAAGACCTTGGTAATAAGCCGTCCATTTGATTTCCATGTAAGTTGAGATTTCGTAATCCACAGCCCTCTAGAAACCCAAATGCTATATTTCCATCAAAGTAATTGGCCTGCAAATTCAACACTGAGAGAGACTTAGGAAGACAATTTGGAATCTTCCCGATTAAGTTGTTATGAGAAAGGTCAAGAATTTCGAGATTTTGAAGCGCCGAGAACATGTTAGGTACTACTAAATCATTAAAAAGATTTGATGATAAATTGAGATAACTAAGATTTACTAAATTAGCAATTGAGTTAGGAATTGAACCTTGGAGTTTATTGTTTGACAAATCTAGGTATGTGAGTGAGTTTTGCTGGAATTGATTTATTTGACCTTGAAGTTGGTTATGATTGAGATACAAGGACTCTAACAAAGGTAGGGTGAAAATCCAAGGTGGCAACGTGCCATTAAGTAAGTTATAAGAAAGGGAGAGATAACTAAGTTGTGTGAGGTTTGCAAGTGATGATGGGATTTGTCCACTAAGATTGTTAGAATCGAGGTATAGGCCAGTAAGTTGCCTTAAGTTACTTATGGAAGTTGGAATGGGACCAGAAAACTGATTATTGAAAAGGTCAAGAGAGGTAAGTTGGGTGAGGTTTGCAAGTGATGATGGGATTTGTCTGCCAAGATTGTTAGAATAGAGGTTTAGGCTAGTAAGTTGCCTTAAGTTACCTATGAAAGCTGGAATGGGACCAGAAAACTGATTATTGAAAAGGTCAAGAGAGGTAAGTTGTGTGAGGTTTGCAAGTGATGTTGGAATGAGACCAGAAAACTGATTATTGGAAAGGTAAAGAGAGGTAAGTTGAGTGAGGTTTGCAAGTGATGATGGGATTTGTCTGTTAAAATTGTTAGAAAAGAGGCTTAGGTCAGTTAGTTGAGATAAGTTCCCTATGGAAGCTGGAATGGAACCTTCCAAGTTGCAGCTAAGACTCAGAGACAGTAATGACTTTAGATCTCCTATAGACTCTGGCAATCGCCTTCCGCAATCCATATCACCTAAATACAACCATTGGAGAGGACTGCTCCAATTGGAACTTGGAAGATCAATAGTGAGGTTTCCCTTTCCACCTAAACTAAATCCCTTGAGATTTGGAAAGTGGAAAATACTGTTTGGAAAGTTTTCTCTCAACTGACAATTAAAAAGACGAAGAGTAGTCAAAGAAGAAGAGAGATTCATGAAGAAACGAGGATTAACAGAAGTCATGTTCACTCCATTAAGCACAAGTTCTCTCACCTCACTCAAGTTATGAACAAGATTTTTGAAGGTAGTAATTTCAAGGATCAAGTCAGAAGAAATGTAATAATTAGAGAGGTTGAGAGAAACTAACTTGGGGAGGTGAGCAATTTCTCCCGGAACATGGCTCGAAAATCGAGAATCAGAGATATCAAGATGCTTTAGTCTAGTAAACTGACTGATTTCTGGTGGAATCTTGGAAAGCCTAAAATCATTGAAAGCAAGATTGAGGCTTTGTAGGTTTTTGAGGAGAAAAAGAGTGCTGTTGGAAGGAAAAGTGCCATAAAGGAAACTGCAGCTGAGATTAAGGGCAATTACATGGCCTGTGACATTATCACAGCTAACCCCATCCCAGGAACAACAGTCTATACCTTCCTTCCATGACTCAATCTTAGAATAATTAGGTTTAATATAAAAAAGATCCGCACAATAATCTTGATACGGAACAGTGTAATTGATGGAGAAGGATGTCTTGAACTGCAGCAAAGCAAGAGCCTCCTCATGAGAGCAGAGATGCGTTGTTGAGAAGGAAGAAGCATGTATGGAGGATGAGAAGGCAGTTTTAAGACAGAGGAAGACAAAAAGGAAGTAGAGTGGTGCAGAGAGCTTTGTGAAGATCCTCATATCTTTGTTTGGCACAATAGAGTACTCTAGAAGAGTATATATAGAGTTTTTAAAATTGAGGGATGCTAATAATTGAATATATTTCATTAAAACAAAAATAAATGAATATAGAAAGTAATATTGACGCAGCCGTGATGTCATTTTTTAAACTATTTTTTTATTTTTTTTTATTTATTATTTTAAAAATAGATGAAGTAATTAAGGATTATAATCATATTATTAATAAGTCTTCAAATAATAATTTAAATCTCAATAAAAAGTTGTTATCTTTGTTATTTTGTGATATAGACAAAGTATTTCTTTCACTTAAAAATTAAAATTAATAATTTAAAAAGATTATTTATTTACATTTCTTAATATATATAT